GTTAAGTTAGCATATGTTAGCTTATGTTAAGTTAGCATAGGTTATCTTAGGTTACCTTAGCTTAGGTTAAATTATGTTAGGTTAGTTAAGGGAAAAAGTGCGGTCAACTGAAAGTCTTCATAAACTGTGTATGTGTGTTGTGGGCCATACCTCAGACACACTGGTGCTGGCGTTGGGGTTGCGGGGGGCATGGTGACTAAGAGCTGACAGGCAGGCCAGGATGAGGTGTATGGCGCCAATCTCCAGAGCCATGCGCCGTAGCAGCACGCCGTCATCAGTGGTTAGAGGAGTGCTGCTGAACAGCGCTCGCAGGACGTGGAACGGCAGAGTGGGCAGCACATTGGCTGATGGAGACTGCAGGATATGACCTAAGAGGATGCCAGAGAAACAACAGAATCAGAGGACTAAGAACATTTCAGTCAGGTTTGGGTTTTAGATTAAATTACTGGTTTGCCAAGATCAGTGTTAGTGCAGCACTATCAACAGTCACTGCCAATTTGGGAGTTTTGGTATGCTTTTCAATTTTTCATCATGAAATATTCCAAAAATACAGATGCCCGATATAAACTGGATAAAAAGTTGCCATAATACTATAGGACGCTTTAAGACGACCATTGTGTGGGATTTAATGGCGTCTAGCAGTGTATTTGCCGATTACAGCCCACTTGCCTCATTCTCCTGTTCCAAGCAAAAATCTAGTCAGTGTTTGGTTAGTCCCTTCTAGGCTACTATAGAAACATGGTGGTTCAACGTGGTGTCTACCTCTGTTAATAAAAACAGCTCATTATAAGGTAACAAAAAAACAACGATTCCTTCAGCTGATTATACACTAATGAAAAAGTACCTGTGAATATTTTATTCAATTTCTGACAATAGATCCTCCTAAATGTTACATACTGGACTTTTACAAACAAAAACTGAACAAAAAGTTGTCACTTCAAATAAGATCTTTGATTTATGAGAAAGATCAAAAAATATGAGCTGAAGGAGGGGCCGTTAAAAAGTTGAAATATAAACATTAATATTCAAGACAGAACTAAGAACCAGAATTTATTTTTTGCAATACACTATGACAGCAGTTAACGTCAGCATTGGCAGCTGTGTAGTGCTTTCAGACTTACTGCCCTCTCCATCATCTGTGACACCCAGTACCAGGCGCAGCAGACACTGGGCGTGCTTTCTCTCCTTCAGAAGCACCTCCGCGTAGCCTGGCAGGCGGAGGAACAGGCCGAAAGCTGCCAGCGAGTGGGCAGGGATGGGTGACATGGTCTGCACTGAGGATGATGAAGACGACGATGACTGGGACTGCTGCTTGTTGATGGGTGGTGGCTCAGCAGCGATGGACTCTGGAGCCTCGTACACCAGCTCGCCAGACTGCTCGATGGTTACCCACTCAAACTGGTCGCTGTCCTTGGGCTTCTCCTGTGTGGCAGAGGGCACCACTGGGGCACTGACCTGTGAACGACCATCCGGGAGAATGGAGGGTAACAAAGCAAAGGTGAGATGAGCGAATATGAGACTGTGCTGACAGGTGAATTTACAAGAGCAGGAACTCTGCAGTGTCATGATGTGGCAAATTCTAGCCTGAGGGAAAGGAGAGACTGCTGGCTTCTCTACATACTGCAAATGTAAAATATGAAACCCTATCCCCCTTCATCTGAGAAAAAGGACTGACATTGACCAACATTTCATATTCTGGATCCAAGTAAAAGCACCAGTTTCACCCTATTTTAATCAAAGAGAAAGCTATTTGGCAGACTTTAGAGCCATTCTAGCATAGAATATAAAAGTAAAGTACCAACATTCATTATTGACCTGGGAATGACACCCTTGACAACATAAATCACAACTCAAGGTCCACTTACTAGCTTTTCTGGAACTTTCCATCATTTCACATGGTGATTAACAGATGAGTCAGTTCAGATTTGTTGTAATGCCAGCTCAGTAGCTGTTCTGATTTCATCACTTCATCAGATCACTTTCTTGACTTATTATTCATATTGGTTTAAAAAAGAAAGCTGCATCTACTGATGACGACCATGTAATATGATAAAGACCCCATGTTAATTACTGTCATTATTGATATTTGCAACTTATATTCATGATAAACATTGGTCTAAAGATGTCTGAAAATAGTAAAAAATGTCCCAGAGCCCAAATTAAAGTGTCATGTTTTCTTCGCCCAACACTCCCAAAACCCAAAGTTTGAATCAAAATCAGAGATTACTGAGGAAACCAGAAAATATTCACATCTAAGAAGCTCCTGAGCTTACCTGTGAACAGATCCACCTCGATGACAATTCAGAAAACTACAGAAAAGGTTCCAACCAAACTATTCCACGGTGTATGAATTAAAACAAAGCATACTTATATATTTAAAACAGTAATTACTGTAGGTCCATACAGTTTAACACACAATAAATGGCAGTTCTCTTTGTTTCTAGAAAATTTTAATTCATAGGACTGTACATTGACATGCATCTAGCATGTCCTAGATTTTAGCCCTACTTGAGATTTTAGCCCTACTTGGCCTCTGTTCTTTGAATGACCATGCATATGCCAATGTCTGCGGCAGGCTTTTACTCTCACCTGCTGAATGACATCAGGGTACAGCATGGGCAGCCTCTCTGCGATGAGGGCCAGGCCACCCATGCCTGCAAAGACCTGCAGTGGTGACTGGATGGGGTTGGTCTCCAGCAGGGACTCGTCAGTGGCAGCGTCGAGACATTCTTCACTGGGTGTCATTGGTTCGTCCTCGGGACAGCTGTTCAGCATGTCACAGTGATCCACTGCAAGGAGTGCAAAGAAAGGACCTGTTATGTATGTATGTTTGTATTTTCATGCACTGTCTGGCATCTGGGACACTTTTTAGCACTGTATTTGTTTGTAACGTGAAGGCTACTGTGAGGAGAATGCCATCACTGAAATGAGAATTCAGCATTCTTTTTTCGCTGACTGGTTTAGTTTCTTTTTTGGTCTACATTTGGTGCGAGGCTTGATCTAAAGCATGTTGTTTAGATGATGCTTTACTGGATGTTTATTGACTTCACTGGAAAGTGTAAGTTTGGCCTATTCCAGCAGTATGTGTTTGGTGCTATGTTGGCATTCTGGTTTACAGGACCAGTGTAGAATTTAGTGGAATCTAGTGGTGTAGTTGAAGATTACAACCCTCTCGTGTCATCCTACCGTTCCAAGTCTGTAGGAGAAACTACAGAAGGCGAGCTCGGTGGTGGGGATGGATTTGAACAATGTGGAGGCTGTGACTGAGAAGAGGATGAGAGGGAAGCTAAAAGACATCATGGACAACCCCTCTCATCTTTACTATGCTGAGCTGAAGCAGCTCAGGAGCATTTTCTGCCAGACTGGTCCAGCCCTCCTTTGTACCATCAGCCATCAGACTCCACAACACAGCACCCAGTACCTCCTACCTCCATTTTGCTATCAGTCTATTTCTCTTCCACTTCTCAGGAGAGGAGAAGAGCCTAACAATAGCTTCCAATCACCACTATTTGTGGCTCTTCATTTATTAACAGGCCTAAATGTGTGCAGCTGAAGGTGCCCTACTGTTGGATGGACTATGTGTCAGAAAGGAGAAAATAAAACACTGTCTTAATGCCCTTGTTTACACTTAGAACATGGCACTGAAGACAAAGTCAGACGGTCAAAATGAAAGAAACACCAATTTATTGCAGATTTATGATTATATGAAGCTCTGGTCGATTGATAGGTCATCTTCCAAAAAGCCACTTGTCATGTCTTACAGAGGAGGCAGTCATGCAGAAACATTCAATTTCTCTTCAATTTTCTGTTAAAAGCAAAAATAAGAGAAGTCACTCCAGATGCACCAAACGTTCCTAACCATCAAAATCTGCTCCTACCCAGGTGTGATGAATGATGAATCCCACTTTATCATAACCTGGAGGAATGCAGGATCATTTGTTATTAGCATAGGTAATGGCAATGTACCGTGTTGTGCTGTGGGAAATAATCTGGCACATGCCCAAGAATTGGAATGATGCCACCAAAGACATGTAAGAAGAACTTCTGCAGTATTGACATGTATGTAATGCTAAATAAACGGAAATACAGTTTTCTGGAGTGTCAGTTTGTGAAGCCCCCTGACATAGACAGTGATCCACTGTCAGGCACATCAACGACTCAAGTCCCCACCACAGATGCATTTACAGATCCACCAGTTAATGAAGGAACATTTTGCATGTTCGTATTGGAGATGTGCCTTTACATTAATTAATTAACATATAAGTATTTATTAAACCTCCAAATGTATTGATCCAAATCATTATAGTTTATCTCAAACATATTATAATCTATAATCCGGTTAAAACTGTGAAAATGAAAAAACTTTGGTGAATGAATGAGTACAATAAAAATAAGAACTAATCGTGGATACAAACAAAAATAAGAGGAAATTCATTCATATATGGCTTCCTGCATGTGGCCCAGTGTCCTCCACACACATTCCCTTAGTGATGAATAAAAAATTCACTGGAATTGTGAGTAAAAGGGTTTCTAACAGATGAACACGTCTGAACTTTCGAACCAGTATTAGAGAAGGCTCCTTTTCTAAAGGAGGGCAAGGACTAGAAGGTCATTTGGCAGCTTGCCCGAGGAAAAATTAAACAGCACTTCTACCATATGAGTTTGCTCAGTAAGATACAGGTCAAACCAGGCAAATGACTAAACAGCTAAGCCCTTTAGAATAAACTGTTTGCATAAAAGAAAGGCCCCACAAAGACACCCCTGTGACAGCCCTTGGCCAATTCAAAAGAGTACTCAACCAATTTAAAATTGCACTCATAACACTGTCAGCCTCAACTGATGCAGACTGTGACAAGTGACATTGAGGACATTTATCAGACTTCACATATCTCCCCCTGGAGCCACAAAAGGGCTTTATCCAACAATTTTTCACACATGCACTGGTACTCCCTAACACATGGAAACAAACTGTGATATGTAAAATTTAATTCAATTTAAAAGTCCCTTTAAGGGCTCAGTATGCTTCAAATTAACTAGTTTGTATTAAGTTTTGTCCAGCCATGTCTAAAAGTACAAAGAGAGGGGAAACTCAATGAATGGCACTAATGAGGATAATGGTTTCTGACAGTCTCTCATCAAAAGGTATTCATAATTAATTCATACTGCTGCCTTTAGCTGTTGGTTCTGTGATAGGTACATGTTGGTATGTCTGCCTATGTGTGTACACAGGAGACTGGCGTAAATGAAGTTTACTGCATGCTGAAAGCTTTAACAGTGAATTTAGATCAAATGTCTATCAGAGGTCGATGCCTTTTCCCTTCATGTATCTGTTGTAAAAAAAAAAAAAAAAAGAAAAAAAAGGGTTTTAGAGGAAACAGATAAATCTCAAAGGGTTCTGGGACCATTTGTCAGGGAATGGTAGGGTGGTGTATAATGTAGCGTATGCCAGACATGATGCGAGTGCATTCAGGGCCATTTCTTTCAGACACAAACACTGAAACAGCTTTATAAAACATATTCAGCCGACAGTGAATTCCCTCAGAAAATGAAATCTCTGAGGCAAAATGGGGATCACTCCACTCTGTGCTGCTGGGTGTCTAATCTCTACAGCTCACATAATGAGGCTATCTGAATTCAGCAGCCACAGAGAGGAATGACTTGTCTGATATCACACAGAATTTTCAACTCGTTAAACTCCATTTCCATCTTCAGTCTGACATTGCCTCCAGTCGAAGATTGTCGTTGTGGAGGGGGAATTCATTTTTCGCCAACCAATCCCTAGAGACCAGAGTATCTGCTTGAATCTAAGGTTATTTAAAGTCAACAATGATGTGTAGCCATGTCAACATATTGATTTTACCAGGGTTTGAAGTGGAGTAAAAAGCAAACAACAATGTTCGGTGACATGCCATGTACAACCGACCACAATATTAGCATCTATCTTGTAAATGGTAAATGGTAAATGGACCTGTACTTGTATAGCGCCTTTCTAGTCTTCTGACCACTCAAAAGCGCTTTTACACTACGTGCCACATTCACCCTTTCACACACACATACTCATGATGGGCAAAGTCCATCGAACAGAAACTAACTCATTCATACAAATTCACACACCGATGCTATGCATCGGGAGCAATTTGGGGTTTCAGTATCTTGCTCAAGGATACTTCAACTCGGAGGAGACGGGGATCGAACCAACAACCTTCTGATTGGGGGATGACCCGCTCTGCCTCTGAGCCACAGCCGCCCCTTGTCTATAGCGCTCGCCCTTGATATAAATGTTATTACACCTTCTTGGTTCTGGCAAACAGCTTGACACCGGTGTTACTCTCACCCGTGACACTGTTGGCTAATCATTAGTCCCCCACGCACTACTCATTGGATAGATACTTTTCCAAGTGAGAAATCGCTGTTCCATGTCATGATGCCAGACCAGAATCAGTCAACTTGGTGGAGTGGGATCAAAGATCTGGATCCAGGCAAAGGAAGGACACACTGGGTAAATAAGATAATGACTGACCTCACCAAGTGGTTACGTGGTATTCAAGGTATTCAAGTTCAAGGAAGGGAAGTAGAGAATTTGTAACTGCTCATTTTGGGAATGTCAAGGTTAAAGAACAACATGGGGTCGCCTGGTTGCTTCCTGCAGTCTGTAAAAAGGAAAGCTATATAACTGAACATACAAGTCATCTTCTTTCATGGAGGGCTATAAGGTGAAGTTAACAAGTGTCTATTTCCTCACAAAAAATAATTAAGCTGAACTGCTCTGTGCTTTGACCACTTTTATCTTACTGGTCAAAAGACAAATATTTGTGACATTAGCATTCAACACAAGACTGACTTTGCATGTTTGTATGAAATAATATGGAGTTTCTGTTACAATGTTGTTGAAATTCAAGCTGCTTGACTTGATAAACACTAACGGATTAAGCATTAAACCCTTACACAAAAAGGGTAAAAATGTATGCCGCAGAGCCATATATATATATATATATATATATATACTCTTCTTTCTTATCAAAACCTGATGGATGTATTAACTACAATGTCATTCAACTGGTGACAGTTGGGCCAAAGATTCAGGTGTGTTATGCAAATTTGTTTCACATATGTAGTGGTACTCTTGAAGAACTGTAAACACTCTTCTAATAGAAAAAGGTCCAATGGTTTGATAATCAGATGATACATGCTGTATACTTGTACATTACTGTTAAGCTGGTTGTTAATGTTATTACTTTCACCTACACTTTTCCTGCTATTATGAGTCAAAATGTGTTCTATGTAAAAAGTCTATAATTATAATAATCAAAATACTGAAGACAATGAGGGTAAAATGGAGGAAACAAAAATCAGAAGTTATGTCCATCATAACAGTCAACCAAACAAATGAGACTACAGCTTTAAAATAAAAACTATGGACAATGGACAGGACATGGCCAATGGACAAAAGGTATCTGAGCAGTTCTGCAGATTTGATTCACGAATGCTGAGATCATCAAAACAAGACATTGATGTTAAAAATGAATCTGACCTAGGGTCCTCGAGCCTGCAGAGGAGATAAATATAACCAGTCACCACCTCTGTGGACCAGCAGCGAGGGTCAGCAGTTTGATCCAAGCAAGAACTCGTCCTAACTAAATGTCATTTAGCAACAGTGTTCATTGTATTATCTGTCTCACTGGATCAGACAATAAAAGGCTGCAAATTACGCTATAAACATACTTCCTTGAGCCAAAGTTAGGCTGTCACGGTGCAGGAATTTCCCTTGCTGTGTTTTAGCATGGCACAACAGTGCAGTTTCCAGTATTATCGTCATTATTGTTGGTTTTGCTAATTACTTTGCAAGGGGTACAACAGGATAATGTTTAATCTTAGTAGCTGCTTGATCACCTGCACTCTCCCTCCTCCTGACTACTCCTGTTAACCGGCCACTTTCAGACAAATAAAGTCAGCAGTTATTTAACATATTTGGCCATATTTAGTTACTTAATAAACACTGGCGACACTGGCGAGTTGCGGGACGCAAATACTGGCATAATTATGGAACCGGTATGCATTTGCTACTAGAAGACTGCCCATGTTTCCAGTCAGGTGTTTTTCCAGAGGGAGTGAGCCTGAGGCTGTGTGACTTTCTCCTGTGTTGTATTGTAATGCAGGGCTGTTACTGAGGGGTTACTGAGCAGCACTGCATTTCAGACCGCACTTCTGTTGTGTAGCGTCTCTTAAGCCTAGTCGGTCTGGTATGCGTTCCTAAATTAAAAAAAGTATGGTGTGATGAGGTGATGTCCCGTGCAACTGTGGGGGTGGCTTGTTAGGCTTGCTATGCACTGTGGTTGGCTTGTCAATAGCACAGTTTTTTATTATTATTATTTTATTATATTATTATTATCGCGACAGCCCTAGCCAAAATGTGCAGCACTGTATCCCTGGTATAACAAATCTTTCTATATGCCATTGTACATACATGATTGCTGCAACAACCTCTAAAAATCACATGAAAATTGAACAAGAGCAACTTTTGAGGATGCAAAAGCTGTAATTCCATGGGGGCTGCAAAGGTAAGAAGAAGAGTGACCGTGATTAGACAGTTTGTGCTAAAAAACCACTTTACAAGCTTTTAGACTTCAATTTTTTTTTTTTGAAGCAGCCAAAGAAAAAGCTCCGGTGATGTGGGCGAAGCCCTGACCACAGTACAACTCCATTAAATGTGGACACAGGAGGAGAGTAACAGCCACTGGACTGGACTTTCAATGCAGCACAACCCATTTAGAATGCACACTACACCACTTTCTTAGTAATTGACTTGAACTAAAAAGCAACCATAAAATCGTTTTTGCAGGTATGAAAGCGTTCATAAATCCATTTGATAACCTTTAATATATCTCCTGGTAAATATCAATGGAGGAAGAGACCTTTGTTAGATGATCTGAGCTGAGTTATATTGAGTAAGACTCCTGTAAAATAAGTTAAAGTTACACTAATGTTCAAAAGTATAGAATTAAAGAACATGCAAGGACAAGGACAAGGAAATAACCTTTTTCACAGCAGCCATTTTGACACAAAATAGTAGGGGAAATACAGTTGTTACCGCTGATATTAATTAAGGTTCCATTCAGATCAAACAGAGTCAGGGATTCCGCTGTTGTACCTGTTTGCTCACTGTAAAAGGCTCTGCTACACTAAATGGAACAGAACCTTAGTTAGTATCATTAGTAGTATCATCAGGTAACAGCTGTGTTTACCCTACTATCTCATGTATAAATGGCAGCTGTTATTCAGAAAATAAGCCCGATTTATATTGAATCAAAAGCTATAATATGCATCATATTATAGCTTTTATATGCTTTAGATATTATAGCTTTAGATTCAAACCCTACTGCAGCGGCCTAGGGTTTGAATCCGACCTGTGTCCCTTTGCTGCATGTTAGCCCTTCTCTCTTGCCCCTTTCCTGTCACTCTGCAGCTACCACTATCCATTAAAGGCAATAAAATCAGTGACGGTTGTACCATCCTGAACTGGTGAGAATAATAACCCTTTTATTGCTGACTGGAACAATATTTGAATATATGATAATTCTTGCTCCTGCATAATTTTAGTACTGTAGAAATACATGTTTTTGGTACCTTTCTCAGTGCGTAGCCTCTTGAAGGAGTCTGTCTTGGAAAGGCCGGGATCAGAGATGACCTTTGAGCCAAGTTTGACTGTCAGGTTGATAGACTGGTAGCCTTGCGGCAGCTTGCGGTCGTACAGGAGTGTCAGTAGCTGGGCCAGAGTCATCTCGGGTGGTAGGGGCTGACCTGGAGGGGGGGACAGGGTAAAATGCACTTCACTAATACAGTAACTTTTGGCTGCATGGTTTGAGTTTGACTGAAACGCCTTGATGTGAGTTGGCATGTTAACTTTGCACTTGTATATGAAGTACCTGGAAGCAGCTTGTGGTAGAGGTGGAAGACAGGCACACTGATGGTTTTAGCTGAAGGATCTACACCAGACGAAGCAGTCAACTTGTCACTCATCACACGACCCCTCCTTGAGGGAGGTCGGGGAGGGGTTGATAGAGCTCGCTTGGATTGGGACTTCAAGCCTGATGGCACAGAGACACAATATGGAAGCCTCACAGGCTTAGTCTTGTTCTCATCATCAGAAATAAAGGTTAATATCTGTTTTTGATTAAAACACTGAAAGCTCTCAACTGCTTATATATTGTGCTAGTACTACATACAGATGGGTGACAAATCAAAGGAAAAGCAAACTAAAGTGTCTTAGTATGGAGTTAGGTCTCCCCGAGCCTCCACAGCAGGCTCAATGCTACTTGCCAAGTCTGTGGAACTCTAGGGATGAACACCATTATCCAAAAGATATTCCCTTACATATACAACCTTTATTTATTCGGGTAAAGCTTTCTAACGGTGCAAGGCAGCTGGACTTGCAAGATCTGATCGGACTGTAATTTTGGCGCTTCCCATCTGAGACTAAACTATTTATACAATTCCCTCTTCAACATGATTGGCATTGTAGGCGGTGGGATGAGATACGGTGGCCATCAGAGGCTTATTAGCTGATGGCTGGGTTGCCACTGGACAAGGGGTATGTATGGAACAGATCCAAGTACCTGAGGCCACAACAACACTGTAGTTGTCCTGGAAGCCACTGTCTGCTTTCATCTTCTCCTTCTCCTCATGATTCTTCTTCTCCTTGTCCTCCTTCTGCTCATTGATCAGCTTGGCTGTAATGCTGGGCGTGTCTGTTTGGAAGAATAGGAGACAGCGTGAGTAATATATTCTTTTGTGACTTAACTTGGATTTATTTATTCTTATGTTCATTTATTGTAAATAAATATTGGTGGCAAGGTAAAAGAGATATGTTTAAGCTTAACGAGATATTTTTTCACACACACACACACACCAACAGTGGAGTATCAGCCTACTATATCAGCTGTTCAAGGTCCCAAAAGGTGAGCCATTCATCATGTACATAGGTGGCTAAAAGCTAACAAGCAATTCTGCAGCTCACAGCATCAGTGCTGCACTGCTGCCTTGATTGGCTGTACATCATCCAATCAAATCTGCCCCCCTATCCTTCATGCTTTTACAAAGCAAGTTAAACTCAAAGCTGTCCATCATTGAGAGATTGGTATATAAAGTTATCAAATGTATAAGAAAT